ATATATAAAACAATTGTTTTCTCTCTTCTTTTTTTTTCTTTTTTTTTTTCCTTTTGCTCCCAAATCCAGTGATTGGAAGGTAACAAATTTTGTCTTCAGGAGGAAACAAAATTAATATGGATATATCGACTGAATATGAATTTTCTTCTCCCCACAAAACAAAATATGATTTTTTTTTTCTTTTTGAAAGCAACAAAATATGATTAAATCTCAACTTAAAAATAATTGGCATAAAAACTTGAAAGGGTATTTTGGTAAGAAGAGTGAAACCGTTCCCAGGGAGGGTAATTTCGGCATTAGGTGAAGACAGTACAGAGACAAATAGGTAACTCAGCGATGCAATTAATTGTTGCTCAGAATAAGAGCTCATTTATAAATGGATATTTTTATTTTTATTTTGCCTCAAAAAATAAATCAGAAAAATTATAAATTTGATCGGACGGCCAAAACACTCCGTTCCATTCCTCAACGGCAAGCAATAATATAATAATGACGTCCACGCTATGGCAAATGCAATTGTCCTCTCGTCTCATTTTCCTCAACGTTTCTCTCTCTTTTTTTAAACAAATATTTTCTTTAATTTGTTTTTGTTTTGAAAAATTTTAGATTTCGCAATCTTCTTCTGTTGGGATCTTGAAACTCGAAAATCGGATCAAAAAAACCTTTTTCCTCACTGAGACTTAGAACCAAAAAAAAAAAAAAGAGCTCTATTGTAGTCTTTCTCTCCAAGGTTTTTCTTTTTCTCCTTCTTTTCTTTTTCTTCCCAAAACCTCGCCATTGTCTGCGAAAACGCCGACGTTTTGGTGTCTCCTTCCTGATCAGCTAGTTTGGTGGGGAGCTCTCTCTTGCTCTGCTTCTCGCGCTATCGCCTCTTTAGTGCTTGGCGTTTCGCTCAGGCGTTTCATGGACTTTGACAGACTCAGTGATCGGCGCAGAAAGTTTAGCAGAAAAATCTAAGCCAATCCGAGGTCAGATTATTATTTATGATTGTTATTCTCTTTCGATTCCTGGTTCAGTTATGGAAAGAATCAGAAAAACGATATACAATGATCATCGAGACGATTCTTGATTCCTCTCGCTGTTTTTCGTTTGTTTGTTTTGGCCAAAATGGATATTTTTTTTCCTTTTCAAGTTTGGTAATATCTGTGTTGTCGATGGATCTAGAGAGTTAAATACCGCTCAGAAATCAGAATTTCGCTGCCATTTTTCCAAGTTTGAAAGTGAGAGAAAACACAGAAACGCTGAGTTTTAGAGAGAGAGAGAGAGAGAGAGAGAGAGAGAGAGAGAGAGAGAGAGAGAAGCGGTGATTGAGAGAGATCATTCTTGTTGACGCCATTTTTTTTCTTTTATGTTTTGTTTTTCTGTTTTTGCATTTCTCAGTATAATTAGTTTCTCGGTTCATTTCTCGTTTGTTGCACTATCATTTTCGTCGTCGTCTTCAATATTTAGCAGTGTACTGGAAGCTGAATCGCCTTTGTCGCCAAACGAATTACCATTAGGTTTCGTTTTCACATTTTCTTTTTCTTTTTTTGTTTGTCAATTAATATTCATTTAATTTGTTTCTTTTTTTTTTTCTTTTTGCTTTCAGAATAAGTCACTGTTTGATTTATCTGTATCGTATTTGACTCATCATGTCGGTTTTCCTTTTAATACCCAATAGATTAGCGTGATTATGAGAACGCTTTTAATGAGCCTCCTCTTTTTCTTCAAAAAAATAAAATTGATTAATCTTCGCTGAATCCCCAACACATTTCCTCTCCCTGATCATCATCATCAATGGCGTTTCCACATTAATCAATTTATGGGTTCTCTCTCTCTCTCTCTCTCTCTCTCTCTCTCTCTCTCTAAGACCACTTCCTCTCTCTAGGTTTTTTCTTTTTGTCTTTCTCGCTAGAATATTAGGTCTTGATTTTCTTGCGAAATAGTACTAATAGTATCAATCGTATTCATTTTTTTTTTTCAGTTGGTAATCATCATCATCATATCAGAGAAATCAATCAATCAAGCAACAATAATAACAACAATGGCGTCGTCGTCATCGAGCTCTCCATGCGCGGCGTGCAAGATTCAGAGACGGAAGTGCACGCAAGAGTGCGTGTTCGCGCCGTACTTCCCACCTGACCAGCCGCAGAAGTTCTGCAACGTCCACAAAGTCTTCGGCGCCAGCAACGTCTCAAAGCTCCTCCAGGAGCTCAGCGCCTCCCAGCGAGAGGACGCCGTCAACTCCCTCGCCTACGAGGCCGAGGCCCGCCTCCGCGACCCCGTTTACGGTTGCGTTGGCCTCATCTCTGTCCTTCAACACAAGCTCCGCCAAGTCCAGAACGACCTCAACAATGCCAAGAAAGAACTCGCCTCCTATATCGGCCCCCACGCCGCCGCCAGTCTCAATCTTTCTCTTTTCCAGCCTCCGCCACCGCCTCCGCTGCCGCCATATAACAATCTCCATCAGCACCACCAACCGCCTTTCTTTCCGCAGCCGTTGATGGCGATCCCAAAAGGGGCTTCTTCCTCTTCTTCTTTGCCTCCAGCTGGACATGAGATTGTTTTAAATATTGACCCTCATCAGCAACAGCAGCAGCAACACTTTTTCGAGGCTCAGCAGTTGGCGGCGGCCATGGCGGCGAGAGAGCAGCAGGAGTTGCTGAGGATTAGTCTTGAGCAGAAACTGAATCAACCGCAAGAGTTCTTGGCTTCTAGCTCTCACGGATTCAATAACCAAAACATGTCTGGACCAAGTTCTAATACTATTTCTCCAACCTTGGCTCTTGGCAGTTCCTTTGACAATTCCAATTACCATGTTAATCAACCCCAGCAATCGGAACATCATAATCTTCATCATCATCAACTACTTCGAGAACAGCTCATGCTCGGCCAAGCCCCACAGCCGGAGGTGGCGCAACAAGTACTCCACCAGCAACAAACCCAGATCATGCTTCAGAAGCTAGAGAGTGAGGAGAGCAAGAGTGTTGGACCGTCTTGCTGATGTCTTTTGCAGCCTGTCTAGCTCTTTGTTCATCTCAGCTTTTTTCGTCAGAAAATTTTTACTCATAGGTATGTGCTCATCTCAGCTTTTTTTTTTTTTTGAACGATTCAAATTCTTCACCTTACAGAGTAGTCACGTCTAGAATTATTGTTAGATTATGTCTTGTTTTTGTTGTTCATTTATGTTGTTATTGCAAATTTTGAAAGTTTTTTTGTGGTTTAATATTTTGTCACATAAGGGTTTATGCTGGAGTTGTAGTACTATTAGAGATCCGGTTTGCATTTATGAATGTTATGATGCTTTTATGTGTAGTTTTGGCCTGGTTTTTCATAAATGGGGCAATATTTGCTTGGTGGCAGTGGAAAGCTAATATTAGTCTTTATTGCATATAGCAGAGGGGTCGGTTAAGAGAATTATTGTCTTTTCACAGTAAGAGACGTCTCAGTCGTCAACTATAATTAGATCCCATCTGAAGTAACAGCCTTAGGTTTTGCTTGCACACTTTATATCCTTCTTTGTTTGTTTTTTTCTCTTTTTAATATATAATATAATTTTTTGAGGAAAATTTTGGACGACATTGTGCTTACTAACAAAAGAGATGATCTGGTTGCTAGTGATGTGATGTGATGCTTTGTTGGGATGCTTGAGAGACAGATCAATTGCATTTTGGAGAATTTTTTTGAAGATAATTTTTTTTTTCTCTAATTAAATAGTGATTTTTTGTACTGATCTTTGGACAAATGTGAGGTAGCTAGAGGGGTTTTATCGTAATTTGATTGAGAACAAAAGCTCACAGTTTTGACTTATCTGCTTGTAGATAGATCATAGATGGTTAGGTTGCTCTCCCCATTTTGTGAAAGGACAAGTAGACAACGCTACCTTAATTATCTCTTTCTGACTTCTCCTTAAAATAAACAATTTTTTCCCTTGTCTTTTTTTTTTCCCCTACCTACCGAGGCCGAGGGTCAATTTTTTTGGCTTCCAAATGAGCTGTGAATAATGATATCCTCGTGCCATGATGGTACGTATTTCTAATCTTCTTATAGTCTTCTTGAATAATTTTGAATAATATTATAGTCTTCACATGACTAAGATAATTCTCATGGTGATATTTCATATAGTGAAATACATCCTTAGCATCACATGACAAAGTGATAGTAAAATGCCCTTAGGAGATTCGTTAGAAAGCTCTTCTTACGTTTAAGAATTTAACAAATAGTTATTTTATTGCATGATTGACTATAAGTGTGAAACATATATATATATATATATGTATATATATGAATATATACATACAGTATTTCATGTATTTTGTCGTGCTGTGCAAGAGCAATTTTTTTGGTAGTAGAGATTGCCAATTTTTCTACATGAATATTTTCTGGTTCTTGATTACAATAATCCTTGAAGTGCAATAAATATATATATGGTGACATGCATGTGACCAAATTCCCTCCTTATTCTGAGTTTTCTTTGGTTCTCCCTTATGCAGATTATTTTTGCCGCTCAAATGGAGAGGGAGGGAGAGAGAGAGAGAGAGAGAGAGAGAGAGAGAGAGAGAGAGAGAGATTACATTTGAGATTGGTTGTATTTCACATGATATGAAGTAAAGTCTCTGCATCAATTTTTAGGTTGGAGAAGACTTTCATGGAGATACCTTCAAACCGTAGGATTCCACATTAATCTTCAAGTACAGCACTCGTTTCTTTTCTTTAGTCAGGTAGGATTGATTGGTTAATTGTTACTAAAAATGTAAATAAAGCATTTCTGGATCACTTTTTGGAGGGGCCTTAATTTGTCTAGAAATCTCTCTCTCTCTCTTTTTTTTTTTTTCCTATGATGAGTACTAGTTATAATCTTCTGCCTAATTATATTACTATTTCTGCCATACTATTCATTATCGTTATTATTTTCCTTCACAAATTGTTTATAATCTATGATCTTACTAGATCTGAATCTGTGATCACTGGTCATTTTGCGTGTAAGTGAAGTTTATATGGTTCAATTTGTCTTGAAGGAAACAATTGAACTTTTAAAACGAAAATAATAACCTCACTATTTCTCCTGTGTATATTGGGAAAAGAGCCAAGGCCATGCATATTGTTGACCACATAGTTAGTATATTTTTTTATCGGGATTTGTGCACAAAGCTGACTTTTCTTGATGAAAAAAATAATAATAATAAAAAAAATTCAAGAGAAGGGGGGTATAATTTTATAAATCATGTGATTTTTGTGATAAGAGTGATAAAAGAAATTGAGGAAAGATAAAAAGAGAAGTGTGTTGTTGTAGCCTGTAGGGAATTACAAAAGTTCAATATCTTAACAGAATTTGATAAAAATCCAACAGTTTGAATTGTATCTACAATTATTGTATTATCCTCACCGTATCAAAAGATTCTCGATGGGAAAAAAAAAAAATCTGAAAGCGTGATACTGGATTATCAACAAAGTTTAAAACCTTTCACAACAATGACAAAACAGTTTATTGGTGAATAAACAATTGACATAACATTGAAAAGAATACTTATTTGACTAAAAATTATGTCAATCTTCTCTTTGGATGGTGAGTGGTGACCCACCTTCACCATGATTCCGTTTCACCTCACGGCTTCCTTCGTTTTCTTAATGAAACGATGAACTTTTAACTTTAAATATTGTTTTATATATACACAGTGCCATGCGGGTCTTGGAATGTTAATAATAATTAGAAACAATATCCCTAATAAAAAAATAAATTAGCCCCCTAAAAAGTATAATAACAATCTTGTACTATACTCGGGAGATTATTCCTAGCCAACATATAATAAGTTTGTGTGAAAATCGTTGGTTCTTTTATAATATTTGACCAATTAATAGGCTTTTTCTTTTCTTTTATAATATTTGAACTTTGGATGAGTCAGGGCTTTTAAGTTGATTAATGGCTTCACGTGCTTTCCCTTATTATATATTTGAATCATAATAACAAGGATTGCTCTTATTATAATCATCATCATTATGATTATTGTTATCATCATTATTATTGTTATTATTATTTTAAATTTACGCAACGTCTTTTAAAATTAAACATGTTTAATTATAATAATTATAATTTATTAGTGTGTCTAATTTAATTTTCACAATTAATTAAGAGACTTTAAATTATTTTCAGTATTTATGAATTTACCTCAAAACTTTTAAAAAATAAACTTAAATTTTAATACATTTTCTTTTTTCCATTTTTCTTTTTTCATTTTTTTCTTTTTCCTTTTTCTTTTTTTTCTTTTCTTCTTTTTCTTTTCCCACCCTTCCTTCCCGTGGCAGCCCAGACCAGCCCACACTCTCTCTCTCTTCATTTTTTTTTCTTCATGCCGGCCACTTCCTCCGGGATCTCTCTCTCCCGCCGGTCTTTCTCTCTCCCTAGCTCTCTCTCTCTTTGGGTTTCTCTCTCTCTCTCCCTCTTGGAGTTCCCTGCCGAAATAGGGAAGAAAAAAAAACGAACAAAAATCGGAAAAACTAAGGGAGACAAAGCTCCATCAACTGATTTAAGGTAAAACCCTTTGAAACTCACTCTTTGATTCGAATTTTAAGCTTGAGAAAGTTTGATTTTGGTTAGATTTGAATAATTTTGAGTTAGGGTTTGGATTTGAACAATTGTTTTTTAAATTGATTGAAATTTAGGGGTTTTTAGTTATTGGACTTGTTTAATTGATTAGAAATTGATTTTGATGGATTTTGGAGAATTATTTTGAAATTGAACTTGAATTGCAGGTTTAGCATTTTTTCTATTTATGCCGGCATGCTGCCAAAATTTCTTTAAAAAGTTGTTTTTAAGCTGAAATTAAATAGGAAACCAAACTCATGGATTGGATTTCAATCTTTAAAGAACCCCCAAACTGATTATAAAATCATTTGTGAAACTTGGATTTGAGTCAAGGCACATTAATAGGAAATAATTAAACATGATTGAGCTTAATTTGTTTTAGGAATGAGAAATACTTCCTAAGATATTACTTTTGTGATAAAACTAGTGGAGAATGTCAAGTATTCAAGCTTTAAGGGAAGCGGAGGCTAGGAGAACGAAAGGCTAGCCCAGATTTGATATCCGAGAGGTAGGATATTCTTGTCCATATCCTTGTTAGCCCCACTTTAAATGATTTTGGTCCATGAAAATATTTTAGAACAAAACATGTTTAAAGAAAATGATTTCAAAGGAATAGCATGAGAATGCTATTAAGTTTTCCAATGATTTTGGAAATGAGATTTTAAAGAGTATCATTTCTTAAAATGAAATATCTTAAGAAATGATACACAACATGGTGGCCTTAGAGATCAGGATGTGGGAATCGCATACTTGGGGGTAGGTCCCGAAACCCGTACGGATTCACTTCTTGCTTAGTGGAACTATGGCTCTGCACTTTTCACTAGACAGACATTTTACCGCTTCTTGTTCAGTAGTATGATGAGCTGCACACTTTCATTATACAGACATTTTCTACTATGTGAGTATTTCTTTTTTTTTTTAAAAAAAGGGATGATCCCGGGTGTATGTCTTCGGACCGTGAGTACCTTTATTTAAAATGTTTTATAAAATTATATCCTACTAGGCCTTCCGCTCACCTTTATTATGTTTTCAATGTTTTAAACCCCTCCTCCAGAGTTAGCGGTTTAGATTTGCAGCGTGACAAGTGGATGCCAATAGATTGAAGATGCGAGATTCGAAGCGGTACGTTTTTTTTTTTTCAGATTTACAGTTATAAATTCTGAGATGTACTGTATTTCTGTATGCAAACTGTATTGGTCGACATTGTCCCTGAGTTGTACTATTTTTCTCAGACTTAATGGACTGTTCTAAATATTATTTGTGAAAGAAAGTCCGGAGTAAACTATATTGATATTTATGTAATTATTTTGTGATTTGGTTAAACAGTCCAGTTTAATTAAGTTAAATTTTAAAATAATCACGGCCCTATCCTTGGGGTCGTGACAGTTTTTGGTGTCAGAGCACGG